CGATCTTCAGCCATGGTTGCCATCTCTTCCTTCTTCGATTCTCAACCTGGTAGCAGATGCTGGAGCTATGATTCTCTCAAGGAACTTCCGTCAGATATTTCCGTTCGTGCAGAATCATCTTAACCTGGTAACTTCTAATATTGATCTGAGAATAGATTTTCGTTTTCTGGATAATTTGATCGGTTTGATTGATCTCAATTGCATCTTAATTGGTAGGATTTGGTTACAGTTTATGGTGTTGATGAACAAATCGTTGCGATTTGACTTTCCCTGAATTTCTACTTGCGTCTTTTTGTGTGTGGATTGAGACATATGACTCGAGAGGGAATTAATTAGTTGGTTCATAGTTTCTTGCTACCATGTTAATGATTCAGATCATCTAGTTTTAGAAAATTGATCCCGTAAACCCAAATTTGCTTCACTGATTTTGTTGTGAGGGAACATCGCTTATTGATTAACGTTGTGATATTCATTATGAAATTTGCAGGTTAAAATCATGATAAGTGTTGGCTAGGTTATGGAGATGATTTGTGTTTTCTGATCACGGATAACTAAAGATATTATTGTTCCTTTTAATTTTGTCAATTAAAGATTATTTATCTACTAGTATTAAGGCCTAGGTTAAGTTCGATTAGTGATAATATAAGAATGGTAAATTATTTATAAAAGAAGGATAAAATGGTCTACGGTGATCTATTTTTTTAATTTAAAAAAACATGACCCATTTCTTTAATTTTAATAGTTTTTTAGCCTATTTCCTTAATTTTCCCAAAAAAAAATATATATATACATATATGTAAAAAAACAAATTCTATTGAAATTCAACTAATTTCTATTTTGCTAACAAACAAATCTAGTATGGTTTCCGCCTCATAGTTCCACACGGTTTAGGTCTATAAACACACTTTTTCTTCATGTGTGTATAAGCTTTCTCCAAACAAATCTTGTGACGACGAAGACGAAGATACTCCTTATCATCAATTGGTTCCTCTACATTCTCAAGAAACTCTCCAACCAAATCTTCATGATCCGAAAGAATCGACACAATATTTCCTCTGAACTCGCTTAACGTCATGTTTCCTTCTCCGTATCGGACCACTGTGTTAATAACCTCTTCGTGGACCTTTGAATCCATTGCTTCAACCTTCTTCAAGAAATTCTCAAAGAAGAATATTTCCAAATTTTTCCTATACTTAACCCTTTTCAATTCTTGCATCTCTTCTTCTTTTACGTTCTTGAACAGTTGAGAAAGATCGTCGTACTCTTTAAATAGTAAAGGAAGAGCCATAGACCTAAAGTGTTTGTCTTCTTCGATTTGTTCTTTGAGTGTTGGTAAACTTAATCTCTTTTCAAGCTTCTTTGTTAGCTTCAAAAAGATTATCTTCCAATCGACATGGCTCTCGATCTTCTTTGTCATTGTCTTGAAGTTGCAACAATGATTTTTTTCTATTTCTTTTGAATATGGTTATTATGTGTTGTTCGTGTGAATATATAGGGAATGAATTTGTTTTAGTTTGACAAGGGTTTTATTAAAATTATAATCCTACGTTGTTTGGGTCTCTGGCTTAATTATTTAGATGCAAAAAAGTTATTTGATGTAAAAAATGGAAATTCAGCTTTAGTAGGTATATCAAGAAAGGAAATTCAGCCAAGTAATTTCTCGTGCATTACCTTTATTCAATTTGTTTCTTTTTTTTTCCTTAGCACACAAGAAAAAATACACATACTTTTTTTTTTGAGTAACTAAAAATATACATACTTTTGCATTTAGTTTCTGGTCAAATTTTTTT